GAAGGAGCGTAGTAACATTTTGAACTTCTTTTCTTCTTTTTTCAAAATGATCAAATTCTATTTTCTGATCACAATAATGTCTTTTCTTTTTTTTCGAAGTTTACTATTTGATTACAAGTGTAGACATCGTTTATAGATCAAGTCCTTATTCTTGAAAGTTAAGAAACCAGATGTAGATGTAGAAATATTTTTTCGATTGCTTAGAGAATCGGTTAAATAAAAATGGTATTTATAAAAATAAAATGATGTATACTTGATTTAAAAAAAAAAAAAATTAAAGTAAAGATGTTAATCTGCGTTTGTTTTTAATTTTTAAGATCACAAGCAAAATATCTCTTGAAGCAGCCGTTATGTAGTCTGTTTTATAAATGCGAACATTTTTAAATAAAAACTCAAGCATCAATTCCAAAAAGGTAGTTTACTTAAAAAAAGTTTTCTGTGATGTTCATGTGGATTTCTTTAATAACCGATGGAATTCTATTTTAAAATAAAAGTGTTTTAGTTATTGAAATAATGTTTCATTACATTACATAAGCCTTAGTAAGAGGATCTCAAAAATGAATTAAACATTTGAAAATGTATTAGAATTCTCCTATGTATTTGTGGATGTGCAGATAATTAGTCAGAAAAAAACATAAAATTAAAACGAAAATTATCTTGATTAATAAAATTTCTTCTTCAATTTTTTGTTTTCAATACAACTTAAATAATCTAATCAAGTTTAAAAATATCAGTTAAATAAAAAGTTTTTGCTAAATTATTGTTTTCGTGAATGATTGAAAAATGCTTGGCATGACTAGATTTTTTAATCATAATGACGATTTAAAAATAATTATTAAATTATTACCAAGACTTCATTTAAAATACTCCTTCATATAATCGTCATGGTGGTTATTTAATCATTCTGATGATTAATCACGAAGATTTAATCATTATGAATTAAAAATAATTACTAAACAATCACTAATTCATCATTTAAAGTGTACTAGATATAAAAAAGTTTTCAAAGGAATTGTTTAAATACAAGTTAAATAAAGTTTTCTAATCAATTCATGAATCACTAAATTATTGAAATTGGTTATTGCGAAATCATTGTAGTATTTTAATGTAACTTAAATCATTGAGTTATATTTTAAGATAACTTAAATAATGCATTCTAATTAGTTGCTTAAAACAGAAGTTGTAAAATGTTTCATTAGTTCATGCATTACTAAATCATTATTTTCACAAAGGATTTAGTAATGCATTTCTTAATTATCAAACAATTACTTAAAAAGTAATTTATACTTATTTAAAATACAATTTAAATTAAATTTCCAATCGATTGTTGAAATGAGACTAAGTAACTATATGGCAAGTGCTGTTTTAGCAAAAATTCTTCAAACTGCTCTGTAAAAATTTCCGGATCAAGTTACCGTATAGCATCATACTTTATATTACAGTATATCTGTAAAATCTATTTTATCGCAAAATATTATACCGTAATTTTTACATTAATACTTATTTAATCAAAATAATTTAGTGGTTTCTTAAGTATTAAAGCATTATTTAAGAAAATAATTTTAAATATAATAATTATTTAAATTATTAATATTATTTAAAATATAATTTAAATTAAGTTTCTAATCAATTGCTTAAAACGTAATTTAAACAAAGTGTGCTAATAAATTTAGGTTTACTAAATCCTTATTTCTGTACAATTTATTTATTTGAAGGAGATGAAATTATGTAATTTCTTATGTTGTGATGTCACGGACGTAACATAATTTGTTACGTTCATCACAGCCAATTTATATATTTTTAAAAAAATTTTTTTTTTAATAGTTAATAAAAATTTACAATAAGTTGAAAAGACACCAAGTAATTATTTATGGCAAGTGCTGTTTTAGCAAAAGTTATTCAAACTGAGCTGTAAAAAATTTCGGCTCACGCTACTGTATATCATCACGGATGTACTTTGGGTGCATCAATATCTATGAAATACATTTTACCATAAAATATTATGACACAAATTTTACAGTAATATTTAATTAAAGTTATTTAATTAAAGTGATTCAGTGATTTATCTGTAATTATCATTGTAAAAATTACGGTATACCTAATTTTTTATTCCAAAGCATGTTGTAATAAAAATAGATCATATGATAAAAAGTACAGCCACCCTGAGTGTCGGTACTTTTTATCGTAACTTGGTTTGGTATATTTTACAGTTTACTTAATTTTTTAAAAGCAACGATTTAAGCATTTAAAATCTGCAAATATGACGTTCATAAATGATGGAATTGCACAACAGAAAATTCCTAAAATCTTACTAAAATTTCACTTTTTTTTACTTGACATAAATATTTATGTTGCCTTGTATAATAAAAATTTACTGCCTGACAAAATCATTCCGATAGTCAAATACTGATGTTGACGTTCTACTCGAATGACAGCCTGCTTTGCCATTTCTTCCAAAAATTCCAACGAAAAATATCTTTTTAAAAGCTTTGCAAATAGTTTTGCATCTCAATGGCTGTGCATAAATCGATGAAGTACTTGAATTTAGTAATAGAGAATTGCAATTTTCCGATAAAAAGAATTACAATATTTGAAATTTATAAGCCTCTTATTTATCATTTTTGTATTATAGTTATGTAGAAATCTGAACATCGTTCCTTTGAAACACCTTAGAAATGTTTTAGCTTAATACATACGGAGGTGCTTTGAGAAATGCCGGAATGCCTTCGATCTTTCATTCCTAAAATCTCTTTTGAGAATTGTGAATATCTATCGATACATCGAAAAATATTTGAAACCTTTAAGGAAACAAAATCAGTAAGAATTGATCACTATAAATGCTTTTAATATCATTATATTTTTTTTTTCGCTTTTTGCCAATACATTACTAAAATATTTAATAGCCTTAAAGTATTTTTTAAAAATGTCAAACTATGGACCCATCAAAACCTGTTTCATTGCCGGAGAAAATATAAAAGAATTAAAATACAATTATTAGAAATGGTTTCGATTTCCATTATTTTGATCAAACTTATTCAAATGGTATCAATTCAGGGATTGCTTTTCGATGGCGTTTTTGCTCACAAACCGATTTACTACTTCATACGATCCCTAGTTTTCTTTCTAAATTTTCTTTTTAAGAAGAATTCAAAAAAATATGGATTAGAGGGCTATCATTGCGGTATCCTGTATAAATACAAACTAGAAATTTGATTATGGATGAATTTAGTTTCAAACTTTCTTACTATCTTCCTTTTCCCTTAAAATTGCTTAATCATATTTAGTTGATCTCTATATTTTAAAAAGCGCAATTTGAAAACTATATCAAGATCAGTTTTCTTAACCCCTTCAGAGCCGAATTATGAAGCTAAAAAATTCAAGACTGGTTAGATACACTGCACTATAAATAAAAATCTTAATAAGAAATAATTTTAACATTCCACCAATTACCGAATTGATTAAAAATGCTCTAACAGTGTAACAGCTATAAATAAGCAAAATGAGTACTTTTATTTTAAATGCAGTGTATAATTATTTTGTATGAAACATTTTGAAATAATTTTTTTGTTGTTGTGTGAAAACAAAAAAATACTCACCGTTTCTCACAAAATGAAGTTGTTTTGCATGCATAGTGCTCAAAATTGAAAAAAAAAGAAACCACCCAAAATAACTTTTGATCGAATGATCGGATTTTCATTTTCTGGGACTCAATCTTAATCATTTGAGTGGACGATCTCAAATATGCTAATTAATAAATGCAGACGATATTTTACATACAAAAACGTACTTTCTCTGAATAAACATGCCTTTTTTTGACAGATTCAGATTTTTGGGGTAGCCGCAATCTGGGAAATATTGTCCCAATATTTTGGTCAGGAGAGTGCTCTAAAATTTGAACCTCTTAATATTAATTGCGTATTTCGCGATACCTCGAGAACTTTTTAAACGAATTAAAAAAAAACGCAATTATGAAATTCGTTTATGTAAAGATGATTCCCTATAAAAATAATAATTACTTATTCATTTTTATTATTTCATTTAGTAATAGTCAAAGCAATTTTGAATTGCAAGATATAAATTTTTTACATAATTTTATACAATGTAATTGTAAATGGCAAAATAAGAAATTTGAGTGGAACTCGTGTCAGAGATTGCTGTATTGAAAATTGGTGCGCATGATTTGTAAAATATGGATACTCAAATTTCGAGAAGTTTTTACGAACTTGTTTCCAGAGAAATGATGTGAGGGATTCATCACATAGGGGAAGCTCGTTTGAGGATATGAATTTTCCAAAAGTATTTTTCTTAATGCTGCATGTTTATTAACTCTCTTGATTTGGAAATATAACCGAAAATAAAAAAAAGATTATTAGCAAATGGGTTCTCAGTCAACACCAGGATTCGGACCTGAAAAACTTGCTTGACAAGTGAGCGAACAAATTGTTGTATCATTCCGTGATAAAGGGCTGATGGTTTTATAATCAGAAAAAAAAAATGTTGAAAAACTCACAAATAATGAATCAATTTCGTCAAGGATTTGAGACCAAGCTTTTATCTAAAAGCGACGTGATTTCGTAAAAAAATTATTGTTGAAAATAACGAAATACAACTCAGGTATTTCTATATCATCGGAAATGCTAGTTTTATTTTTAAGGGTTTTATTATGTGCGTGTGTTTTAACTGTGAATGTTTTGTATTATATCAATTTACGTTGAAACTAAGTTTGTTTAAAATCTATTAAGTAATTTAGGCGAAATTTAAAATCGACAAAATTGGATAAATATTTTCTTGATTCTAAAAATAAGCGTATGGTAGTTTCTTGAATTATGCTCACTTGCACAAGGCAATGATATGACAGCATAATAAAAGGAATCAAAGATATAAATTAATAATAAACTTTAGCTAGTTTAAAATTGCTTATTCAAATTAGTTTTATTTATTTGATAAATTCGTATTAAAATTATTGATTCATTCACCAGATTTTTTTTCCTGAATTTCAGATAAGAGACTTAAACCAACGTAGAATTTTAACGCACAGTTATGTCTTGCTTTTTCCACATTGGAACTCTGTTGTTACTCTTTGTCAGCTGGATTTCAAGTATTCAAGGATTGGATAAACCAGATTGCTCGTAAGTATTTGAGTTTAACAACTTTTATTTTAATCATTCATTATTTACATTTCAAAGCTATTTTCTGATATGACTTTGTTAAAAAAAATAGTTTCAAATAGGTATCGCATGCCAAAAAATAAATCTATTATTTTAAAGAAGTGCTGAGCATCGAATTATTGAGTACAATATGATAAAATATACGCTCAAAAAAGTCGATTCAATGTTAAACCATGATATCACTACTTTGAACCATAATACGGTGAAAATTTGTTACAAATTTAAAAAATTTATAAGGTGAACCATGTTTCCGTTCAAGTTTAACCACAGCCTCAAGCCAACAAATTTAAGAAGAACGATAATAGGGTTCAACTTAGCAGCAAGTTTAAATAATACTTTACTCTCGATAAAATCAATTCAACGTAAAGCCATAGTAAAATTTTGAACCATAATACGGTGCGAATTTGTGGTAAATTTAAAAAGATATTAAGGTGAACCGTTCCGTTCCAATTTAACAATAGTATCGTGACACCAGGTTTAAGAAATACTATAGTAATATGGTTTAACCTAGCCCCATATTAATGTTGCGGCAAATTTAAGTGATATTATGGCAACAAGTTAAACGTACTATACTCTGAAAAATAACTGTTCGATGTTAAACCTTGATTTCATTACTTTGAACCATAATACGGTGAAAATTTGTTACAAATTTAAAAAAGGCATCAAGGTGAGCCATGTTTCCGTATAAGATTAACCGTAATATCGTGTCAATAGTCTTAAGAAGTACGATAAAATGGCTAATTGTTTCATATTAAGTTTTCAGCAAATTAATTCTACACTATCTTTCAATACCTTTTAAAATTTCTCAAGAGTATATAATAAGAAAATTATATCTACCTTACCAATAATTTTTTAAACTAGATTTTTTTATTTAGTTAAAAATTTAAGTAAAATGCACCTTTTTTTATTACCGATATTCTGATGATAAGGAAATTACACTTCGAACGAAATAAAAAAACTGTTTTATGAAACTTGCTAACTTATTTGTCTGTTATACTTAAAATCGAAATAATTTCCGTCATTATATATAAATTTAACGCGAATTTGGAACTAAGTAAAGAAATAAATAGATATTTGGAATTTTGATCTAACTACATTACATATAGTTCAAAATATAAATTTGAAATACTTTAAAGATTCTACAAAGTTAATAATAAAAAAAAGAGTTATAAATTGAACTAATATTGGCACACATTTAGAAATGATTGCACAGAACTCTATTAAATAGATAACTTAAATACGTAAGCGATTTCTTTCTAACCGATAAAGGAAATTCTGAACGAATTAAATTAAAAATTTTGAATACATAGCTTTAGCGTAGTGTTAATATGGTTCAAATTTAGTTTCCAAATTTTTTAACAATTTTACCCCTATAGATATGTTTTTAACAAAATCGGTTTCTTAAATATTTTGTAAAAAAAATTATAAGCTAAAAATTAGCCTTTTCATTATAATTTTTATTTCATTAAAACTCATATTGTTTTTATTTCTTTTCAAATCAATTAAAGTAATTTAGAAAAAGATTTTAAAACACTTATTACCTTAAAACTTAAAATTTGTTATAATAGTCAAAAAAATATATTTCAATGACTAAAATTAAACAAAAATATACCTGAAATATATTTAATAAATAAGGAAATCTAGTTTATATATAATTCTCTATGAATGAAATTTCTCTAAAAAGAAAGTATAATTCTTCTTAGAATTACACTTTCTTTTTATTTTTCTTATATTGCTTTTATTTTTTTCCAAATCAATTAAAGTAATTTAGTAACAGATTTTAAAACACTTATTACCTTAAAGCGTAAAACTTGTTAAAATAGTTTAAAAAATATTTCAATGAATAAAATTAAATAAAGAAATGCTGAAATATAACTTTATTTAATAAATAAGGAAATCTACTTTATATAATTCTCTATGAATGAAATTTCTCTAAAAAGAAAGTATAATTCCTCTTAGAATTACACTTTCTTTTTATTTTTATTTTATCGTTTTTATTTTTTTCCAAATCAATTAGAGTAATTTAGAAAAAGATTTTAAAACACTTATTATCTTAGAACTTAAAATTTGTTAAAATAGTTAAAAAAATATATTTCAATGAATAAAATTAAAGAAAAAAATGCCTGAAATATAACTTTATTTAATAAATAAGGAAATCTTGTTTATATAATTCTCTATGAATGAAATTCCTCTAAAAAGAAAGCTGTAATTCGTCTTAGAATTACACTTTAATCACCTGCTCACATCAAGAAAAAAATGGTTACTGCTTTTAATGATGGATTGAAGATATTTATCTTCTCTAAAAAGGTTTAAAATTGTGTTAACTTAATATAGAAATCGCATGATATGAACTATTTGGAATAGAGAAAACTCTCAAAACAAGTTTTCGGGAAATCAGATAATTTAGCGTCATACAATATTTGGCATGCGACTCTGTGTGTAGTAATAAAAATGAATTACCACGCGTAGCTTTTAATCCAGTTGTAGAAATTCTGTGTGCTAAGTTTTAATAATGATTTATTATTTTTGTATTTAATTTAAGAATGATCGTAGACTGTCTGAATTTTATATAACACATTGCATAAAATTTTACATCATATTATAAAACTATCCAACTCGGGCTAACATTTGGCCAATCTTTTTTAAAAGATATTGCGTTATTTTGGGGGAACTTTTCAGATTTGACCAAAATAGGTATCTTGATGAATTTGTTACTAAAATGTTCAGTATAACACATTGTAACATTTTAACATAAAAAATTCATAATTGGCTAAATGGGGCTTTTGATGGATAATAAAACAAATTATGAACTTTGTTAAAATTAAACTATGCTCTTAATTGCTATAATAAATTTTCATTGCGTTAGCAATAAAAAATTTTATATTTCGAGACAATGAATTTTCTTTGTAAGGATTTTTTTTCGACATGAAGAAAATAAACTTTAATTGTATAAATATTTCTTTCAGTTAAAAAAAATATAGACATATAAACGTATGAAATAGTAAATAATGCATTTTAAAGCAAAAATCAATTTAAAAAATGAGATTAGTTAGCTGTTTAAAAACTAAAAGATGGCAGACCAAGTAATTGAGTATTTATGTTGCAAAATGTAAAGCCTGTCCTTACAATCATGACACGTTTAACTGGTAATTAAAAATGACATTTGATTGCCAATTAGTTTCATTTAACTTGCTTAAGCACAGACGAAATATTTTTTAGAGTTAAAAGTTTTTTCCTGATATTTTGACCCAGAATTTCAAACTTAACTAATCTGTCTTAACTAATGTGAGTGCACAAACGTAAAATTTATGCACGTTTAGTGCATCTAGCTCTTGTTGGCGTCCAAACTGCGGCCAAATTGTTAAAGGGGGAAGTCTTTAAACTTTTGCATTATTTTTATAAATATTGAGATAGTTTCATATAAAGGAATGATACTAAACAGTTAGGGATTTAAAAATTTGTGTTTTAAAAAAGACGTGAGAAAAATGTTTTGAGATTTAAAAAACAAAAAAATTTGGAGTTCAATAAATTTAACCGCCTTGAAATGGAATCTATTTGGACGAATAAGAATAAGCGTATTTACGTTGAAAATTATCTGTGACGTTTAAATATAATATTTCTTTAATTTTTGATTAATTATATTTGCATGCGTATTCAGGAAATTTTCCAAATCCATGATTAAAGAATGGCGGTTTCAAACTGATAGATTTTTTGCTTTGTTGGGAAGCGAGTGCGTTTAAAATTAAAAAATTTAAATAAAAAAACAAACTAATTTTCTTTCGTCTGAAGCAAAGAATCTAATTATAAACAGATATAGATATAATTGTCTCAGGCATTCTAAATCAATCGTAACGGTGGATTCGTACTTCCATATTTTTTACTTTCTTGGGTAGCGAGTGCGTTTTCGGATATAGGTGTGAATTATTACCTGCAATGCGATTTACTTTTCGAACTTAATATTCATTATGTTAAATACTTAATACTGTAACATAAATATAAAAAAATTCATACATTGCGCCATGGAATCTTTTAATTAACTAAGTAAAGGAATACCACCACATTTTCACGATCATTTTTTGCGTAAACTATCGGAGAAATTCGTAGAACAAATTTTTATTTTTATTTTGTATGAGTTTATAAGCATTAATATTATTCAGAGAAAAGTTTGAATGCAAATAATCAAATCTTGGCCTACGATAAAAATTGAATCAAACAAACAAAGAGAGCGAGATGAAAGTAGATATATTATTTATAAAACCCTGATTAAATCTTCAAGATCAACAGTGCTGAATAATGTAAACGTTTGTCCTTTTCAAACATTCTCCATTCTGTGGCGTTTGAAAATTTTATGTTATGAAACAACTAAAGCCTATTTATAATTTAGAAGTTTTAAAAGTTGAAAATAAAAGCAAATAGTGAAAAGTTATAATTTGATTTAATTTTAAATATTCAGCTCTCAACTCTGGATGAAAAAGATAATAAATGGAATTCCATTTTTATAATTTTATTTGTACTTATTTTACTGGTTGAGCATCACTGAGTTGCTTAATTTATTACTTAAGCATTGTTGGATTACTTGTTTTATTATGTGAGCATTGTGCTCGTAATATTTTAAAAATATTGTTTCGTTTTGAATGCGAATTTTTATATTCACTACTCAGGCACTGATCTAGAAAATGGAAAATTTGAGAATTAAAATATATTTTCTGATCGATATATTTAGATAGATAATGGAAATATATTTTGGAAATGAAATTATATAGGTCATGAATATATATTTTCAAAATAAAATTATATAGATAATGAAAATTAATTTTCTTAATTGAAAAAAGAACATTATAGTAACCAATCTATCACGATTATTTAAAAATACATTTTTATAATTGATATGATATTCACTTTTTCATGAATGAAATAAAAAAGTTTAGTTCAAAGAGCTTTCATAAATAATGTGAACTAGT